GAAAGCGGGAGACAAATTGGAACTGATGTTCACAATAACATGCTGATGACCGAGCACTGAAGCGTACACACACACACACACACACACACACACACACACACACACACACACACACACACACACACACACACACACACACACACACACACACAGTTAGCCGTTAATCTTGCAGATCAAGGGCATTCAGAATACACAATGTAACCACAACTACCCGTTTAATTCTTCCTCAATCCACGCTATCTCTCATTGCTTTCAACGCCTCTTCGGCACCCATACAGTACAACTTCAATAGCGGCAGCTGTAGAGCAAAGTCAATATTAGCCAAGTGATAAAATATAGAAGGACAGCAGCTCGCGTGAATGAGGCACAAAACTATTTCCTCTCCAACTGTACTGCTGCTCAAATGTGACAGCCAACTATTTTCAGTCATTTCCTGTGATACAGGTGCTGGTGTGAATTTAGCCTCAGGTTAACTGCAGTCACTCAGAGCCACATCTCCTTTCCCTTTTTAAAAATGTCTCTTGAATGGAGCAGTCTTTCATACAGTAGATGTATTATTAAATGTGTTACAGCTGAGACGATTAGTAGATAAATGGATAGTCTGCGACCATTTTTAGTATGAATAAACTATCAGTAATTACTTTAAAGCCTACATTAAATGAAGCTTTGATTGGATTTTATTAACTGTTTTTGACATTTCAACTGAATAAAAAACTGATACATTGAAATAAAACAACAGATAAATCCCAAAAGACAATAATTGTTAATTTGCTGCCCTAAATGTTAAATATGTAATCATATATGTAAGTTTAAAGCAAAATCACAAACTAAGTCTGGATCCAGCCTCTCAAATACAAGGATTACATATATTCTTTCTTTTTTATTATCCTAAAGTGGATATCTAGCGATTATTCTGGGTGTTTAGTCTCCGATCAGCATCTTTGCTGTACAATGTTTTATTAATAAAAACCCTGGAGTGAAATATAAATGCAGCATGAGAGTGAGGCAAACAAGAGGAACCGTGATTAACCAGCATTCATATTTCTAGGTTTAAAATATGTTATGAGGCATTCGAGGGTAGAGGCTGATTGACTGATTTGGAAGGGGGTTTATTTCTCTCTGCCGGGCTGTAAAGATTCACAACGGCAGTCTTTTAAAAAAGCAGCTATTAGGTGAAGAGTAATATACATAAATAATCCATGTTGAAATTCAGATTTAGTTGGAGGTGAATCAAATGGATGTTTAAGCGGTGCAGCCAACAAAGCATGGGGTAGTTTCGCTAAATTGCACAACCATCTGTTGCTTTGTTGAACTCTGGAGAACTTCATAAAACGATTATTACTCAAACGCAACTAAAATAACACAATTTCCATTGCAGGAAAGCGAGGCCTTTGATCTTTTAAAGCATTTGTAGCGAGTTAAAAGGGAGGAATATGAAAACAGCGTCTGATTACATCTAAGGGTTTGTTGTATTAATTATGATATGTTTTTCCTTTTTTTTCCCCGCTCCTCTTTACAAGTGCTGATGTGTGCTCGCTGCCAAGGACGAAGTTTAAACAGCATGATTTCACCATTTAATGAGCGCCCTGCTTATGATGTGTCTGGTTTTGAGATGCAAAGCATGTACTGTATGTAAAACAGTTGGCGCGTGCACCTCGACTTTATTCTGACCTCAAACCGAGAAATGCCAACTAAAAGTAAAACATATTGGGTATTGAATTCTCCCTCCGTCTGTCTGTCTAACAGCCTACCTCCCTCCCTGCCTCTATCTCCCTCCACAACAATGACCTATTTAAGCAACAACATGTCTGCAGTTAAGATGACAGGATTGTCAAAATACCGCGGTGAGGTTAGCAGAGTCGAGGCGACCACAGCTTACCTTCGTGTAATAGTTTTAGAGTAATGAGTTTTTACTGCGCTGTAAACTGTCACTATTAAATGCAGCCGACATCGCTCTCCCTCCCCTGCCTCTCGTTAATTTGCCTGTGTTGTCTCGCTACAATCTGATGTGAGTGGCTACATCTTTCTTTGCTCATTTGACATAAACACAAATGTGATATCCTTCCTTCAACGGAAAAAGTACATTTTTAAACCCCACAGTTTGAGGTGAGAGCCCACGTTCCCATGTGTCTTGCACAGAGATGAAACACATACAAAAAATTCACTGAGCACATTTCAAGAGAAAAAAGCTCGTCCTTTTTAAAATGTTTACGTGCACGCTTCTCCTTTCTGTCCCGTGCACACCGGGTGCAAGCTAAGCATCCAACCTATATCGAAACATCTTTCATCTCGGGCAGACGTGTTTCGCATGCATGTGATGTTCTTGAACATTGTTAGAGGACGTTCTTGGCCTTTACAGGAAACCCCTTTGACAACTGTGAGAAGATATTCTCCTCTGATATAAAAGCCAAAATAGACTGACAGGAAGCTTCAAACCACAAAATGTGATTTTTCTCATCAAGGACAATTATTCCTCTGGTTTATTATCACTGCAGATTGAATGTGTGTTTTAGAGTTTAACAGCAGTGTAATTTAGGGATTTTGGGCATGGAGCCTGCAGTAGTTGGCAGCCATTTTCTCTTCTCTACTAATTCTAGTTGGACACAGTCTGCCCTTGACTTGAATGCAAAGCAGAACTTGGTTTTTCTTCTCATCACAACGTGGGGGAACTATAGATAACGTGCACAGAGATGTTGATTTAAATCCACACTGGGGTTTTCCGCGCTTATCTTACTATCGTGTTTGACTTTTACAGAGCGTAGTTTCACTCTGATATCTAAACTAACAAATACTTTATTTTCTCAAAGGCACAAGATATTTTAAAGTCAAATAATGTGCGGTTGGGACTTTGCATTTAGAATATGTTGGTACTTTTCACACCAATTCCTACAGGTATATTTTACAGTAATACTTCAAGCAGCCTGCTAAACTTCCCACTGGTGATGTTTATGACCTAAATATCCAAAATACCCGTATCCTCACAAACTTTGCTATTGGCTAATATGGAGTCCAAACTATAGCACTCCACGGTTTAAACCAGTGAGGGAATAAGTTGTCCTACTCACTCTGTTTGAAGCCGAGGAAGGGGATCCTCTCTATGGGCGTGTCTCTTTCTTTCATGTACTTGTAGAGCTCGACTAAGAACGCTTGCTCCTCCGCTCGGCTCTCCTCCGATGTTTCCTCCTCGTCATTATCATCTGTCTCGTCCCTCTCCTCCTTTTCCTTTTCCCTCTCCTTCCCTCTTTCCTTCTCTTCTGCTGAGTATTTCCTGCTGAGGCTGTTGGCCTTGTGTCTGGCTGAAATCTTTCCATTGGGTACCGTTTTACAGCTGGGTTTGACCTGAGAGAGAGAGAGAGAAAGAGAGAGAGAGAGAGAGAGAGAGAGAGAGAGAGAGAGAGCGGGAAATCAAATGAAAATGATAACCTTTTCACAGAGTGCTATTCAAATGATGTCAGGCACTGTGGATGAGATGTGTCTGTGTTAAAGAAAATAAAAAGATACTTCATGTCCACAGAGACAGTCTGTCATTGATTATCAATGCAGCCGCTCTTCTTGTCATCACAGATTAGTTTGATTCTAGCTTCGAGAGAGAAATGCTAATATTGTTTTATCCGTCCAAGGTCACAGGAATAACAGCAGTGATGGATATTTCCTTCACTTTTAATATTATAACCAATGTTGGATAAAAAAAGGTATGACGTCGTCTTGGACTTAATGGAACATTTAACACTGTATTAATAATCATGGAGAATATAATACGCAGATTATACAATAATATGAATAATTGTTATTTGTAGCCCTATATCACCATATGTCGGACATTTATAAGAAGACCTTTAAGGGATCTAATCAAATAAAACAATCCCATATACAAATTGTTTCATGTTATTACACTAGACAAGTACAACTGAGTCATGTTCAGTTACAATAAGGGTGTGGTTGTCACAGAAACATTACTGCATATTTGACTACAAGTACAGTATGTGCTGTAACATTGCAGTCCTACTGTGTCTCTCAAAGTGAAATAGTTGTGGAATTAAAATACAGATGTACTACAAATATAATATGGAAAGCAGCCAGCTGGCAACACAAGGTAAGGTGTGATATGTAATAACTGCATAGCTAGTGCACAAAAGAGGCTACGGCCCGTCCACACAGCAGGGTTAAAAAATCTTCCAACGCTTCTCTGCCCATTCACTTTGAATCGAGTGACGTCACGTTGCCTCGCTTTTCGCCGAATTGCATTGTGGGGAAGCAAAGCGAAGATTTCCAGGATTTCCAGGATTTTCAGGATTCAAAAGTTCAGCAATGTTCAACTTTTGAAGCTGAGCTGGAAGCGTCAGCCAATCAAATCCCGTTTATGCAAATCTGACAGTACAAGCGCTTGCCAATCAAACCGCGTGTAAGCTGGGAGAGACATACCGCAGTTCATTTCCTCATATTCAAAACGAGAAATTACGGTAGCAAATCACCCGGTTCTTTACGACCAGAACTATTTACCGGGTATACAAACCGGAGGAACCAGGCATGGAGGGAGGTGGCAGAGACAGTGGGTGAAACTGGTAGGTTTTCGCCTGTTTGGGGAGTTTATATACTGTGTATATACAGGACTGTCTCAGAAAATTAGAATATTGTGATAAAGTTCTTTATTTTCTGTAATGCAATTTTGTGATTGGTAGTTGGTCGCGTTGCTCGCAAAAAATCCCCAAGCTTTCAGACACGCCCACCTCCAAGATTTTCAAGATTTTTCTAACGCTGCTGTGTGGACGGGCCGTTACTGTTTACTGTCTAAAACTCTTGTTAAATGAATGTTATTTAACACCTCTTATCACCCTCTGACTGAAACCAGAACCCAGTCTACTCTGATTGGCTAGTTGGCTGGCTCTGTTGTGATTTGTTAACCGCTTAGAGATGTCCCGCCCCTTAACCTATGATGTACGTTCTGTTGGAGCGCTAGCCAATAGAAGCGAGGGTGTTACATTGTGATATCACTATGTTGTGGGAGTAAACAAACGTTGGGATTTTGGCCTTTGCAGACCATTTACATGCAAAAAAACCTATTTACCACACGGGAAAACCCCCCAAAAGCATAACGGGGCCCCTTTAATCTTTTATTTAACTAAAATGTTATTGTTTTTATTGAATGATAATAGTTTTTTTATCTCTTGTCAAACCTCTGTTGGGTGAATTTCCTCTCAAGGATGAATATCATTTAATATTTTAATGTTGTCCTCTCTTACCTTGGTACTAACTTTGCTTTCCGGGCTGCAGAGCTCCAGCGCTGCCACGACCGCCGACCCCGGGGTGGACCCTGACGACCCTGACGACCCCTGACCCTGAGCCAGGCCTAGGGAGTCCCTCCTCTGAGAGATGGACAGCTTCTTCTTCCGAGGTCGCCCCTTCAGGTTAGGCGCTGAGGGAGAGGAAACGGTGACAATGAGGATAACAATTTGGATGGAAACATGTGCGATGATCCAGCTCTGTGATTAAATCATGACGTGTTTTCACCTCTTCGTTGCCAACATTTGGTTCAATTTGATGTTTTTATCTTTTGAAATAGTATTAACAGGAAGAGTAAAAGAGTTTATAGCCAGAAATGCCTGGGAAAATGTTCTGTTAGCTGAGGAGGACGGGGGCTATGACAGGAACATTAACAATCAGGGAAAGGAATTTCACAGGACCGCTAGCCTGTAGCTAATTATTTTTAAACTGGATTAGTGCAACATTGTGCTGAATGGGGTAGCAGGCTGCCAAATTGCTCCAATGTGTTAACAAACACAATCCTTAAGTTCCCTCTCAGGCTAAAAGAGAAGCTACATTTAAATTCAGACAGATGTATTTTCAAGATTTTAGATAAGGGCGTCGCTACGTCAAGCAATTAGTAAAATACAGTAAATGACAGAGGCTGTTCAACCCACAAAACCACAGAAAGGAAAAAAACGTTTTTGCTGTGAGAATATTTGTTACATATGCCACAAAAACTGACCACAAAAACATATATATTGTCTTGTTTCTTTACAGCAGGACTGTCCCAACTGTCATCTCATCATCGCTATAATGAAGAGTTATTTAATACTAAAGCAACTCAGATGTACAGATAGTCGTGGCTTTATTTCTCTGGTTAGCTCATGTCTTAAAGCTGAACGCTGTTAATTAAAAACATATGAACCTGCCTTATAGGAGTCCTTTGTTTGAAAGGCTGGCAGATATAATTGCTCAGTTCACATTACACACACAATAAAGTATTTAAGACCTCCAAGTCCTTTGTACACCCACGTTTATGTCAACCCGCGACTGTAATGTAACTTCTTGGCAGAGTGCCTTGCATCCACGCAGCAACACAAACAGAGATAAGCTCAAAGGAGGGAGAGAAAGAGAAAACAAAAACTTCAAATAATCCAAGTTCAGTCACGTATTTCACAGCGTCAACATTCTTTCTTTCCATCTGCAATGACAATTAAATCACATCCAAGGTTGTTCTGTGCCAAAAGCACTCTGTGATTATTTTTGTCGGATCAAATTCCCATCAGGAAAATGTTAGAATAACACTGGAGCTGAATAAAACTAAGAGGCAGTCATTAAAAAGGGTAAAATGATCATAACTCAGCAACCTATCACTTCATGTTGTTATTTTCCTTAACCGCGATGCTGTGGAGAAACAGTGCAGGGAAAATTCCAAGGACATTTGTTGTGCATTTGTCATCCCTCTGGCACTAAAAAAAAAAGTTTTCAACACAGCAATCTTTACTGAGAAAGCATTGGGTGTTTTCTTCCGTCAATGTTTTTCTCTTTCTGCCAGTGCTCGCTCTGCCTCTTTGATTCTGCCAATTACTCATTAATGCTGCGAAATTACATAAACCTTATTATTTATTTATATACTTCTGAAGGGAGAGAAACACAAGCACATACTATTCACTGGAAAGACTAATGCCACATACTGTATCGTAGCATATACTGTACAGCCTGGCAATGTTACAGCGTCTGTAGAGAACCCCATCTGTATTTAAACACAAACCAGAAATAGATGCCACATTACAATAAATGTGCTTTTCAACTAAAGTCTGGAGAAAAGTAAGTGATGACAACATGCCAGACATGTACACTGCATATAAAAGAACACATGCAATCACACAAAACTCAAACATTATGTGACATTTGTGAGGTTTGACTCGATGGATATTTATTCTTCAACATGTGACATCAGTTTAAACAAACGACGCAAAGGTCTGAGTGAGGTCACACTCTCAGTGCGGTTCTGTTTTTAGTCCAATCACTAACCCCCCTGACACCCTACACCGAGTTACATAGCCTGCCTGTCTGTGTACATATTTCATCAGGTTAAATACTGCTGCGTAAGAAAATGCTGCAATTACAGCTGCATAAAACATGGTGACGCGACAGCGAGCAGTTTAACATTCATCCACTTATTGATGAAGGACAAACTTAGACAACATGAATATTACTGTAAACTGAGGTGAAAAGGTCCATTCATGTACTTTTGTTAACAGAAAAAGGCACACAAGGTCAGGCGAGCTTTCCAGGCTGCAGAAGTTGAGCAGAAGAGCTGATCTGCTCTCCTCGATGCACAGTTGCATAAGGGAGGAGTCATCAGCTTTAGAATAACACCAAGATGGATTTTTTCTAGAATGGAAACACAGTGTTTTATAGTCTGCAACAAAACAACAAAGCCAACATCACAAGGTAATGATTTTACAGCACCCAGGGAGATGTGGTATTTTTACCACTCTGTGGGCATTGAGTGTTTTTGTCAATGTACAAAAGAAAAGACAATTTAAGTATACAAGATACTTCCCTCTATAATCCAAAAATGGGCACAATAGTCATGCACCAAAATTCGACTTCTGACCAAGCTGCCAAATAGTTTAGCTTCTCACTGAGTTACTTATTCCTTAGTCTGTCGTTGACATGTCTTGGAGATGAGCCGTGAAGTGACAGGAAGACTCTTTTCACACACACACACACACACACACACACACACACACACACACACACACACACACACACACACACACACACACACACACACACACACACACACACACACACACACACACACACACACACACACACACACACACACACACACACACACACACACACACACACACACACACACACACACACACACACACAGGTAAGGGGTGTTCCCATGGGGTGTGAATCCATCACGTCTTGTCACAGAGCACAAACCCCCGAGTCACGAAAGTCACAGCGACGTCAGCAGCAAGATGCAGAGCCCGACTATTTGATCCCTGAACGCTCGCAGCGGTTAACAGCTTTACAACCCGACTTTGTCTCATAATTCCCCCCTCCTCAGATTCAATTAAACACAGCCCTAACACCTCTGTTTCACTGCCATTCACTTGATGTCAATGATAATGAAAAACTCATTAGAGGCGGCTCAGGAAGGGTTCTGACGCTTCTATGCATCAACAGCGAGGAGCCACAGGGAAACACAACAAAATGGCCTGATTGATTGAGAGGCTGCTGGGAACCGAGAGACATATCAAGCCGGCTGGAGAATTTAACTGATGGATGCCTCGGTTGATAACGCTCTCTCAAAATTGACTGAGAAAAAAAAGCTCAATATTTACATGTGTTCATTAAACGATTGTCTCTTTGAAAGTGGGGCGGTTGCACGAGTCCTCTCTGAATCAGATGGACTGATTATTGCTCTAATGGTGCGCATAGTTTTTGTATTTAATTGGCAAATGGAAATTAAAGAAGTACTTGTATTTAATAAGTTTAGCAGTCATCTCATCCTTTCATTTGGAAGTTTGGAAAATGACTGAAATAATCTGTCGCAACTACAGATGGTGTGCAGTGGTTTCTTATTTTTAGCCACACTAGCGGTTTGGGTTAAGAGACGGTAATTTTGGTTGTTTGGTCGCTCCACCACTTTGGCCAAACTGAAATATCAGGCTGCTGCAACGTTTTGTAAAAATATTCATATTTCCTCATAACATGTTCTGACTTTGTCGATCCCCTGACTTTTGCTTGAGTAACAACATGAGGTAGTTCGAGAGAGTTTGGTTCAGATATTCATGTTTCTTTAGATATAAACAGTTATCTGGATATACTCTGACAACTCAGTATAAGGTCTTTATTTACGTATTAATAATAAACAAAAAGGTTTTCCAGGTACATTTCCTGTCATTTTTGTCTAGTGCTAGTAGGAACTTATATCAGGCTAATATGCTAATCTAAGATAGTTAACATGTTAGCATTTAAGTCAAAACTCAACCGGTGCAGCCCCGCAGAGCTGTTAGCATGCTCATATTCTTGATAATTGTAAAAAATTAAGGACAGCAGGGACTGATATTTAGCATCGTCTCAGTAATCAAATTATGTAAATTAGTCTGTTAATCGTTTAATGGGAATTCATAAAGGTCAGGCTGAAATAAATCGCTTATAAAGTTAAGTGTAAAAGTTACTAATGACAGAAAACATCATATTATAAAACCTGCCGAGCTATTCAAAAAACCCATTTATTCAATCAGGAGTATTTCAAATAGGATCAACTAAGAGTTGTTCTCCTCTTTTCAGAACTGATCTATCTATCTGCCCTTTCCAGATGAAACCCCCACTCAAAGTCTTAATTCAGCAGTTGAACTTCAACTTCCTCTCTCTATAATGAGGTCCAAGTTCAGGCTGAGAGGTGAGGGAGGAGGAGGAGGAGGGTGAGTGAGTATGACTACAACAAGTGGAAGGTGAAAAACATGTTTTGACATACTTTGTGCAAATTCACTAAGGCCTGACACCCCCTGGGCAATTATCAGCTAAACTCGCTGCCAAAGGTAACATTCATGTTGCAATGCGGTGCCTTGTCGGTACAGTATGACCCTGAGGACATAAAAGAATCCAAAACAATACAGTACATATGTTTTTAATCAAACTATTTTTCTATGTCAACAAGTTGTGTCTCACCGAGGATACAAATGAAAGAGGGAGGAGGCCAAAAGGGCAGGAAAATAAAAATAATTCTGTGAATAAATGTTGAAACACATATTTAGAGCAAATAAAGTGTTAATAACCTTTAAGCAGCACAGAGATATTGACAAGTAGAGTTACAATCCACGCTGTTTTAATCAATACGAACTCTCCAAGAGACAGTCAATTCAAAAGCTGTCCTCAATGAGTTACATGGTAAAAGGGCAGATTACTTAAATGATTTTTAGCCAAACACAGTGTAAAATCTTCTGTAAAACATAATACGAGTCAGACCACGTGACCAAAGCTGTTTCCACGCAGGTGAGGTGAACCCTCCCCTGGGACGGTTGTTTAAATGAAACTCTACCTGGGAATACGCCCACGCAGAGAAAAAAAAAAAAAAAAGGTCACTCAGTTCTAGCGTACAGGGTTACAGTGGTGGAAATTTACAGCCAGTCATAA